AAAGAACACAAAGATGTCAGCCTCTACTACAACCCGATCGGACACCCGTCCGAATTACAGCTGCTGTGTTTCTTTGATGCTGGCTTCACGGCGCGATCCGACGTTCACAGGGCGGCTACATCCTGATGTTTGTCAATCGCCAGCTGCTTACCTCTGGAGAAGATGGTGAGTATCATGTTTTGGACTGGCGTAGTTTTCGCACGCCTCGGGTCACCCGGAGCTCACTGGCAGCTGAGGCTCAAGCAGGTGGACAAGCAGTTGATAGCATCGATTTCACCTGCAGGTACTGGCACTACATCATGAACCCCGACCTCAAGCTCAAAGATCTGTTGAAGGCGTCTTCCACTTTGACGCCGATCATGGTCACTGACGCCAAAGCCCTGTATGACTCCTATCACAGGGAGGGAGTCAGCTCGTCAGTGGTGGACAAAAGGGTGAGCCTAGAAATCCGAGTCACGAAGGAGATGCTGGAGGAGCTCAATGGACAGCTTCGATGGATGAGCTCAGAAAGACAGATAGCTGACGGATTCACCAAAGAGTCAGCTCGTGTCTTGCGAGCCGCTCGCCTACGGCATCGACGTGTGAAGCTAACTTGGGACCCAAACTATGTGGCTTCAAAGAAGAAGACAAAGAATGAAAAGGCCAAAGCCATCGCAGAGACTACACTTGACTTCCAGCCGGAACACTATGAGCCTGAGGAAAATCAGGACCCTGTTGAGGAGCACACTCCACCGAATGCCGACGTCTCTGAGTATCCCGAGATCCTTGAAGATGATGGCATGCCACCGAATGAAGAGATTCCTGCCACCGCCTACTTCTCAAAGACCAAGGAAGCTGTGGCCTATGTGTACGCCATGAGCCATGGCGGCTGCCCCATGAAGTATGTCAAGAAGAGTCGCAAGCCGAATGCTCTGTGGCTGATGCTGCTGCTCTCCATGCTGGTGCTGACCAAGGGTCAGCAATGTGAGAAGGGTCAGGATCCAGAGAATCAAGAAGAAGGTCATCTGCTGATGTGGTTGGCCGTCCTGGCCTTACTGCACGTGACCATCATGGCAGGCGTCTTCTTTGCTGGACGCTGGAGCTGCCACAAGGACACCAAGGACAAGCCCCTGATGAAAGAAGTTCAAGTCCAAAAGGACGAACCGATCGTCCATACCCGACTTCGAGACCTCCTCCAACAAGAAAAGACAAGATCTGAAGAAGCACTCCGAGCAGCCAGGGAATCCCGATCTGCCTTCAACCTACAGATCGATGAGGTTCAAGACTTGCGAAATGAGGTGTTGAGCCTTCGCAACATGGTCGTCCAAGGGCACAACCTGATCAGTCGATCAATCTGGGAGATGGATCACCACACCTCCATGTGCCCCTTCTCAAGGCCCATCGTCACCAACCGGACTGCAACTTGCTGGCACCATGAGACCTGCCACATGGTTGAGCAGATGAATGAGCCCTTGCTGATCCGGAGGGCCTGCGCTTACTGCCCCATGCACCGTCCTCCACCTGACCGGACGGATGCTCAGGCGAGGACGATTCGAACCGACCTAAATGCCTGGCTGACGAATGCTGCTTTGTGGCTGCCAACTGAGGCCTAAAAGGCTAAAGAACAGCCCTGCGTAAGTTGCACGCTGTGCAACATGCTTTGCAGTGTGTTTTCTTTTTCATGTGTCGCGACATGTCGTCACGACCGTCCTTCGATCATGACCTGATCACGCATTCCACCAACAGAGGGTGGGCTCGAACCGCCAAAAGAGGCTCGGGTGCGCGCTTCACTGCGCTCGCGTCGCGGCTCGTTCGCGTCGCTTGGGTTTTTGCCTTGTTGTGGACCTCGTGCGCTACAACGACAATTCGACAATATCGCATGTCTGAGACTCTGGTGATCCAAACCAAAGCTATGAACTGGCAGTGGCCATCTGAATTTGTATCCATGATGTACTTGTTCAAGACCTAGAGGGGCAAGGGGGTTGCCAATGAAGGCAGGGATGCACATTGGCGCATGATGCAGCAATGCGAGTAGCTTCTTCGCATGTGAAGAGAGTTGTTCAAAGTCTTGCGCGTCAATTCCTTCAGCCATTGCCACACTACAGCCAGCAAGCTGCTTTTCTCGAAGAAAGTTACTGTCACCGTCTTCATTGCAACCGCAACAATACCCTACGCTACGCCACCCCACTTCTCGTAGCTAGTGGATACTGGAAACATCACACCACCCAACTGTTTCAGAAGCAAGTTCATTCACCAAGCATCAGCATCCAAAAAATACCATAATGCAAAACACTCAGCAAAGTCTGTGGAAAAATCTCAACGACGCTGCTGTACAAATACCGTGCAACCCATCAAACCCTCAGCAGCAACAACAAGTGCTACTACTCCTCCCCTAGCAAACTCTATTTGCGGCCTAACCAAAAGCTGTGGTTGTAAAAACTCTGATGCTGCGACCGCTGGGACGTGGCTGTCGGGGGGCAAAGGCTATTCGCGTGATGGCAGGTATAATGGATCCCCGGCCACCGGTTCGAAGTGACTCAGGTTTAAACACTTTGTCACGCGTTTGTCTGTCTCGTTAACCCGGCAACTCAATGACCGACAATTCCCATAATCCGCACTGATCTATTGAGTACCCCAATGTACGCAACTCGTCGTTGCTCAAAAAGAGCTGCACATCGTGTGAAGCACAACCCAAGAACTGGAAGGGCAGGCCTCTTTGTGCATCTGCCATTCGCCATGATGCTCAGACTGAAACAGTGCAGTGAAGCGTTAAGGTGTTGCTGGGCTGGCTAACCTAAGACATGTTCTGGTCTGCGCCAGTGCAAAGCACTGGCAGTGTGGTAACACCTCCAAATCCTCTCTTCATGCAAATGTTTGATTGTCCTTGGTCTTGCAAGAGGAGATGATCACTGGCGAAGTCTTTTGCCACGAAAATCCTGTGAGAAATCCAAAACCTGACGAATTTGTCACGATAATGAATAATGTTGACATGAGTAAATGGAGCTTTGTTAGAAGTTGAACCAAAATAACAACCTTTTTTCTGCAATGTTGGTAGCCCCCTCAAGCCCTTAAGGGATGCACCAAAAAAACATGTCTTTCAAGCTTGCCGCCATCCCCTGTCTAAAACAGGAAGAATGACCGGGGTTCTCTGGGCGAAAACAACACAAGCAAACGTCAGACGAGTCAAAAACGCGGAGTCTGCCTGTGTTTCTGACAAAGCGCGATTGCTTTGCTGCATTGAAAAAGTGCTAAGACAAGCGGATTTTCAATTGGTTCTGAAAAAATCCGCGCGAAGAAGTCGAATATGAACAAAGTAATGCCAGATTTGGACAAGGTGTTTTTTCATATCCCCAGTCAAGGTGTGGTTTCATGCTTTTTGCATATCGCATTTCATCGCATTTCATGCTGAAAACTCGTTCAACAATACTGCTGGGACCAGTGAAAAGTGGATGTGGTGCTTTTTACAGTGTAAACCACAGTACATTTGCACGGCCAAAAGAAAAGCTATTTCTGATAGTCAGCCCTTTTTTTGTCTGATCGTCATTCCTTTCGGTCTTAAGTTTGCCACAGTGCTTTTTTGAAAGCATCGCGTGGCACCACGCATGCTTCGCATGCCTTTGCGTGAAAAATCGCGAGACTAATCGATGACAATGTTGTGGTCATGACAACGGGTGATCGATGACAATGTTGTGATCGATGACAATGTCGTGACACACCGACCCCACCCCCCCCGCCCCATCTTAATCACACGACTAATCGATGACAATGTTGTGGTCATGACAATGCTGTGATCGATGACAATGTTGTGATGCTGAAGTCCCCGATGTCCCCGATGATGCTGAAGTCCCCGGAGAACCCCCCGTGCAGAACCTCATATCACATGTGCGTGCGCCGCCTCTCCGACATTTGTTGCAGGTGCAGTTCTTAAGTTTGCTAAGTTTGCTGATTTAACTTTTCTACTTGCCATCCTGATATGGTAGGTGTTGTGCTATCTCAATGTTAGATCTGGAAGGCGGGATACTCAAGGGCATACCAAAACATGGTCTGACCGGAGCCATAGGAGCCCAAACACAGACGCCTGAGCCATTCTCTAGAAAGCTCCTGAGAATAAACCTGCCACTTGAATATATATATACAAAAGTCTCCGTCTGGCTCTGCATGGTCTTTTAGCGAGGTGTGGCTGAAGAGCACAGGAATTTGGAGCTGATTTCTTTCTTCAAACAGCATATTTTATCATATGACATGATATTTTTCCCGCCAGCTACAGTACACAATGACATGACAAACTGCGAAGCCGATGAACTTCAGAACCACTTGAGAGGACGAAAGGTAGGACAGCGGGAAGAGAAGAGAACGCGAGAGGCAGGAACAAAAATGCAATGTTCGACATGGTGATTTATCCCCTCGGAGGCGACCTTTCGTAAATATATGTTCATATGCACTCTAAATGTTCAAACATATGCTCTCGAAATGTTCAAAAAGATTCTTAGGAAAACACACTTGCCCCATGGCTCAGATCATCGGTGAGCATTGAATCGGAACATCATAGGATTTGAACTATCCTGAAACCATAAGAGGCTCACGAAGACGCTCCCCAGGAGAGAATTGAAGTGCTTCACAAAAAAAATCTAGGTATGTATCCCCTCGGGGAACACCTTTCGTGATTAGAATTCACTCTTTCTGAATGTTCAAGAGGGTTTCAACTATCCTGAAATCATGAGAGGCTCACGAAGACGTTCTCCAGGAGAGAATTGATTTTAGAGGGGGGGAGGGGGGGGGGGTCTGAATTGAGCGATCAATTATTAGACCCGGACGTCCCAACACTTGCTTCGCAAGACAAACTCAAGGTATCCCCTAAAGGGCTACCTTTCGTGAAAAGAGTTCGTGGAAATGCATGATGGAGACACAGCCAAATCATGATGTGCTACACAACGGCTCGAGACCAGAGCTAGCACCCTGAGACACAATAACCTCGCAGGAAAGAAGGTGACCAAGCGCCTGGATCATCGTCAGCTGACTCCTTTTCTAACCAAAGGCTGATGCATGCTGTTCGACAATCCGCATCACGCTGCTGGCAAATGCCTGGCACTATAATGGAAGCGACATAAATATAATCATAGTCAAACATACATTATATATAGTATATACATATCATATATATATATACATATAATCATCCAGTCTCGTCTCGAGGAGTTTGCAGAATCAATGGTTCAAGAAGCAGCTCTCGCGGTAAATTAGAAGGAAGATTCTGAACACGCTAGAAATTGTCATGGAAAAATTTTGTCATTTGTTACAAATCACACGAAGTTTCCTGATTCTGACAGTGCAACAGCCCATTGTAGCGCTGGATTTCTGCTGCGGAGGTCGTCATCTCTGTGTGAAACCTTGCGCAGCTGTCTAAATGAAGCTGTACAGACTGGGGTCACCAAAAATGATGCAGCCGGAAACAAGCTTCGAACAAGAACCAAAAGACGGAGACACATAGAACTTGCAATGACCTATACATATATATAATATTATAATACTATCTATAATGTCTGCAAAAGCAGTTTCCAACATGCTACAAGTGCTTTGAATCGAAGTCTGCATCAGCCGAAATCCCTGACTCCAGAGTGTCATGCGGCGCATGACAAGATTTTGGCAACTTGTGGCCCCTGCGGCTCCATCCCCGGAGAGCGCAAACATCTGCTCCGAAGAGCTAGGCGGCTTTCTGAACAGGAGGGTTTCTTCGCACCACTTGCCAAGTGTTCAAATCTTTTTCAGCAAGTGAATTGACAAAATTCGTACAGAAACCCGGAGCCAAGCCCAGTCTTCCACTCCAGCCACCGCCTATTTTCAACATCGTTGCCCCAAAATGTATCAACAAAACACAAAAGGCGGTAGCTGTTCAGGTCTACGTCCCAGCTTGGAAAGCAAGCCGTCACATCGGGGGCACAAGCATGCAAAAGACACTCCGGCACAATTGACCTTGCCAGTTGTTCAAGAACAAAGCTGCTTTGTCTCTGCAAATCAAGTTTTATAACATTGCGTGAATGTGTGTGTGTGTGCTCCAGTTTGTCTTCTTTCAACTCGTAGTAATCTGGTCAAGCAGCGGGGTGTTGTGGGCATTCGCCCACACGGCTAGAGCTTCAAATGTACCTTGCTGAGTCATGTTGTCAAGCAGGTATTACGGCTCAAAGTAGGTAGCTGGTGAAAGAACAATTGTGCAAGTTCTAAACAAATTCAATTAAGACTTCGCAAACCAAAAGGTTGTCATCCTCTTTAGCCAAGCCAAACAGTCTCACCAATATGGCGGCCAAGTAAACAAATTCCATTTAGCTCAAACTCTTCTTGAAGTCTGGCAACTTCACTGAGTAGCTTCTAACTCACAGGTGCTGTGTTCTTCACTTCTTGGCCCATGAACCTGAGTCCCTTTTCATTTGCATTGCTGGGAGCGGCTAGCAATTTCCATCAAGGGGTAGCTCGCAACGCCCGAGCACAAAGGTCACCAGCGGAAAAGGGGCAGCTATGCTGTGGGCAGCTACGCTGTGGGCTAAGCAGCCAGCAGTTTTGCTTGAATGCGGTTGGGTGTTGGTTTCGGATTGGGCCGCAGTTGAAAGTGCTGAGCCGCCAAATCTGCTCTCCCCACAGCCGGAAGCAGCTTGAAGAACATGGAAGAACAACAAATATCACAAAATGCTTACAACTAGTCTAAGCTTCCTCAGCCATGGTGCTTTCGACGTGCAGAAGCCCGATGTGCAACATGACAGTCACGTGGACCCCCAAAACTGTGTGGAGTCCAAGCCAACCTGACATTTAAAGAAAAAGGCGACTATGTCACTGAAATTTTCTAGACTCTTTTTCGCAGTCAAAGGTGGAGCATTTTTCTGTTTGAGATCTACGCAAGTCTCCAAGCTTTAGCCAAAGCCGCTTGCCATGAATTTAGGTGAAGGCTAGACGCTCACCTTATCTCGAAAGAGTTAGACTGGAAGCTTGAACTTTCTCTGCGTTTGGAAATGATGTGACACATGGTGAAACGATTTCCGTCTAAAATGTTTGTGACTCTATGACTGGGAATAATCATGTCGGGCTGAGCTGGTCGCCAGCATGCTAGGGCACTTTGCCCTCTCTAATTCTTTGCCCTGGCCATTTCCGGCGCCACTTCGAGGTCCAAGTGATCCTCTTGAAACTGTTCATCAGGACCATAAGCATATCTTCTCTTCCAAGAACGCATGAGTCATGACACATCTCCTCATGGGCGACCACGTCCAGGTGCTGGAAAAGAAGGTCATGCTCCTGACTCGTCCACCAAAGCCAAAGCCAACAAAAACTCAAAACAGCACGTGCTATGTGCATCTTTTCTTGAATTGGATCCTTGTGGCGCATGTCTGTTCATTCATGGATCGTGCTGCAGCATGCGGAAAGGGGTGCAAATTAGCTTGGTGTACAGGTGTACATGATTGGGCCTGCTTCTCATGTGCACTTGGCTCCTCAAGCCCGCAAGTGAATCTGCTATCTTAGCCCCATGATGTCTTATGAGTTCAGTTCTAGTCAGCCAGTGGAGCTTTCCTAAGACTTACTAGTTACCAGTAGTCTTTGCTCAAAGTCCAAACCCTTCCACCAAAGCACTCCACAAAAGTGGTCCTACGAATCCCCCGTACAAATCCCTCCAACCAAAAGTGCGGAGACTTCGACCATGTCGACCCTCCACAAAGTGTTCTTGTCCTTCTCCTTTATCTTTTTTCTTTTCCGCTTTGGACCCTTAGACAGTTGTTTCTTCGTCTAGAAATTCCCTAGTAAAAATGCACGCCACTGAGCCTTCTCGAAAGACCCCCATTGTGTCCTCACTAAGCTGCCGAATGTCCGGAGATTCCTTGCCCGGAAGCACACAAAGCAAACCCAAGCTTATCTAGATTTCTCACAAGAATCCAGGTGGATCTTGCCAAGTGTCCAATAGCTTCAATGTCTTTGAACGACAATTAGGCATGCCTGCGCAAGCCAAGAAAGAATTTGCAGATGATGAAAACTGCAAACTTTCCTCACATGTTAGTAGTAACAGGTGCCACGCTAGTAGTAACAGGTGCCTTACTAGTAGTAACAAGAAGCTAGTAGAAACAAATGCCTACATGTTCAGCAAAAGTGGTTGCACCGGGCCACACTTGATGGCAGCTGCGAGAGCAGCATGTTCATAAACAGAGTCTCCGATGGAAATCACATTCGGCCTGCTGAGGCTTGCACGGAAGTGGAGCAAACAGTGAGCCAAACTGCTGGGCACTAAGGACGCTACTAGGGGCTCCTGGCCTTACTACTAGGAGCAAGGACGCTACTATTCTTCGATCTTTAATGGGCTGTGCGCAAAGATCAGTCCTGCTTTCGTCGTCGAACACAGCATCAATGACATCTGCAAAGGCACGGCGTTTCCATTCAGCCGGGCCATCTCCAGGGCTTGCCTTTTGAAAAACAGCACAGTCAAACAGTCAGAATGCAATGATTCTTCAAGATAGGGAACCATTGGTAATACTGCAAGGCCTTCTAGTATTCCAAATCAAACAACTGTTGTTGCCCAGGTTCGTAAGATGACCGAGCAGAGATGATATCTATGTCGTCGAGCAAAGGCCGCAAACCTCACTACAGCTCTGCAACAGCTGTGCTGCAACATCACCCAATTCTTTCCTGGAACTCCCAAGTGTTTCGCATCGGAATAAGTAAATACACGTAGCTGCGTCGCAAGACCAAGATTCTCCTAGTACGTATGCGTTGGTGACCTTGCCTTGCGTGTCAGCAAATCGGGTAGCGGAAATTTAAAAACGCATATATTATGAAATACCTGTAAGAAGATGGTGATGCGCGCCTTGGTTATGTGATGTCACCTGTGGTGAGTCTTGGGGATGTGCAATGTGGCGAGCCATACTTGCTGATGTAATGTGTGGCGATGATATGTGTTCTGCAGAGGTGCAGAGTGGCCATGTCCATGTGCAATGGTGTGAAGTGTAGTGAGCTAGCTTAGTTTTTCTGAGTGGTGCAACTCCCCTTCTTTCTCTGTTTCTTCTTCTACCGCATACGAGGAAGGTATCGCGTTGAAGGAACCCACAACTCAGTCCAGTTACGCAAGTCTGGATTTGGAAAGGAAAACTGGACCGATACAAAACCGATCTTGCATAACAGTTTCAGGGCCCTGAAAATTTGCTTGCAAATCCACTTCGGGATCATGACAGGCGGTAAGCCCTGGATACAACAAAAACCTTGCAACCTCGCAAACTTGACAACTTCTTGCTCACACAAACCCAGGCCATGGAAACCAATTGGATGGGATTAGCCACTTGGCCAAGTGGTGCATGTGGCCAAGCAAAGCAAAATAACAAATAAATTAGGTAAGTCCTGACTGGTGATTTAAAAAGAATGGCAGGCAAGGTGTTCCATGGCTTTCCGGTTTTCCATGTGTTGCTTGCCATGTTCGACCTGCACAACACCACGAATGCGGCACCTTTGCCAAGCAACCAGGCATGAAGGCAGCGCAACTCATCTCTACCCATCCATCTGCTGCATTCGTTACGATGACGACCCGGCCATATCGCATAGCCTCAGCCAGGGGGTCATTGTGGCACCACATTCCGTCACTTTTCCATTTTCCTGGAAGCTGGCCAGCTTGTGGTTTGTGGCAGCTTGGCTGGTGGCCACTTAGTGGTGGATTGGTTTGGTGGGTTGTTGGTAACTTCGGCTGCTGCAGTAACTGTTGACTCTCACACCTCCAAGAACCTGAAAAACTTACACGGTGGACCTACAAAGGGCCAGCAAACAGATTGCAGCACAGTGGACGAAGCCCACGGAATACTCCCCTGCGATACCATCCCTTGATGCCCAAATGTTTTTCCGCAACGAAGGTGGTATCGAGCTGAAGTTGAATCTGAAAGCGCAGGTGGTCTTAACTAACCCAACCGCGGACACAGTTTGATTTAACTCCGGAGTGTCAAGTGTTGAGTCACCTGCCTTCATCAGCCACATACTTAAGGTCTGATGGCGCGCCATCATCTTCATACAGTAATAGACAGGGGCTTCTCCTTTAAAATCATGGCCACCCACGCTTCGTTGTCCATCTTCTC